CCCACCTGTTCCCGTGCGCTGCTCCCCTCTCCTGCGCTTCTCCATGGACACCTGAGAATTATTGCCACAAACATCTGCCACGTGTCTTCAGACAAGCCATTCTCTGGAAAAGGAAGCAGGGATCAAACTGGCCTCAGAAATCCAGGCTGCAAAGGGCTGCAAAGGTCACCTCGAGGAGAGCAGGAGAGCCATCCCCCAGAGGAATAGTGGAGTTTCAGGCACCCACTCATGAAGGCCAAGAACATTTGATGCAAATTGCCATCACACTTGAAAGCTTATTTCAGATGTTTCAATGGGGATTGTGCCAGAGGCAGAATGGACACTTCCTGAAAGGAAACCTGAAAGGCTTTGGGATCAATGAGTTGTACCAAGAGATACACAACAAAACCGGTGGGAAAAGTACAGTTCTCTGTGGCTGGAATTCTGCCAAGGCCAGTTCTGCCAAATGTTCTGCTTATACAGTGCATTTCTGTGTTCTTACCACTCCTGTATGTAGGGACAAATACTCTCAGCTGAATGCACTGATACATTTTGGAAGTGATATTCTTGACAGTAAAGAGCATCAAACCTGACAATTATTATTAGTGCAACAATTACCTCTTAATTTACAACTTATTACCTCTCAAGTATTCAAAAGCACTTTATATGTACACATATACTCATAACTTAGTGCCAATCTATCAATATATTCTAAATTTGACCACACTGCTGTTGCAGAAATATGCAGAAATTCTGTCCATAAGGTCTCTGTGTTGTCCATTTTAGCAAAGTGAGACTTGTAGCCCTTAAATATTTATGACCATAGTTGCTTCCAAAAACCTTGTGGATTTATGAGAATACAGGAAACATGTTGATGCTGTGCATTAGTTTTATTCCATAGATAAATGTCATTCTGAGCAAAAAAAAAAAAAAAAAGAAAAAAGTCATGGTTGTATAAATTACTGAAAAAAACCCCACCATAGTAATATTACAGACATAATAACAGACAAAACTGTAAAAAACAAACCAAAAACAAACAAACCAACAATTTTTAAATCCTTTGGTCACATATTGGTAACATTTATTTTAAAAGCAAAACCAAAAATGCTACATGTGTCCACACACACAACACCCAGAACACACAGTTCCCATGGATCAACACCTGACAGTGGAGTTTCTCGGACTTTGTTACAACAGCACACTCGGCTTTGTTTTCAGTAAAGACTCCCATTCATTTCTTGTTGATAAAAGGTAAAATAAAAGGGTAATGCACTCCTAGAAACCAAAGCTGTTAAAAAAAAAAAAATGAAGTCTGCCAAAGTCGAGCCTTTAAGCTGAAAACTGAAGTGGTAACAGAGCTGAAGTTCCAACTGAGATTGCACACATTGACATTTATGCAACCTCCCCAGCACTCAATATTGGGTTTGTTTGCAGTGAAAATGACCAAATTCTGAGCAGAACCAAATCATGGGACACTGTTAGAATAGCAATAAAAGTGTTCTCATGGAGTCACATACAAAGTGTTTCGTCCTTTCACTGAACTGGGACTTTACCTCTCCACCCATCCCAAACTTATCTTCCAATGGATTCCACCCTCCCACAAACACATTCTAGAAAAATCTGAATAAAACTGCATTGAGATTCCTAGGCTGGATGTCCATTTGTGCAACTCATTGCTGTGAGGGGCACATGGCAAAGATTTCCAATATCAAAGTGCTGAACACAAACATTGCACTGGTTTAACATCTCCTGAAGTAATCTGGGATTAGCATGCTATTGGAGATGGGGATTGATAGAAAATAATCAATAATCAAATACTGCTTCTTTGAAGAAACCCTTAGAATGGGGGTTTCATCCTTACTAAGTGGCATAACAATACACTTTACACAAGACACCAATTGTTGTCTCCAACAGAAGAGGAAAAACATTTCAACAGAAATATATCAAATTGTAGCCTTTGTTGTTTATTTATCACTTGTATGGGATTTTTTTTTTAATTTCACCTAGATAAACACACTACATGGAAGTATTATTGAACTCCTCCAAACCCTGGTGTGTCTTTAGTTTTCAAGATGGTGTGTTAGTGTTCTCGAGATTAAAATCTCCACAGGGTTTCTCTGCATGTTGGTTGAGTCAGTTTTCCATCAAAACACCTGACTCAGTTAGTGCCAAACTACCACTAGGAGCAATTTCCTTGCATGTTGTAGTAGTCAATACAATATCCAACTCAATCCTCTTTTCCACAGAATTTACCACCTATGTCAGGTTCAGTTAACAAACTAAAGAAAAAAAACAGGTAAGAAAATTTTCAGACGGTTCAAATAGCAATGTTTTGTATAAAATGGAGTTATTTAAAACTTCCTGTCTTATCCCTTGCTTCAGGTTGCCAGAAATATAAAATATTCCATCTGGTAGTGCAATCCCTAATCAAGGGGCTCTGCTACTGGAAGAGTCAAACACCCTGTATTGGTATGAACTTGACCATCAGCTTCCTAATGCTTTCAAGGTATCCCTTGATTGGTAGCAGGAACACAGACCCACTCAGACTGCCAAATCATTTAATAAAAAGGTAGAAAAATAGACTCAATCTTTGTTTAGCCTTTCTAGAGTCACCCTATCATACAACCAATCTTACAAAATAATTTATCAGCTGGGAAAAAAAAATACCAACAACTGCACAGCACCTGGAGGAAGGTCTCGATGGGAAGGTACAAATCCAGTCATCTTGAAGCTGGTTTTCTTCAGGTTTAGGGATATGTATTTTCACAAGGAAATCCTCAATGCCATGTTCACATGAACAGCCATGGACACACAGACCTGTTTGATTTATTCAGCCACTGAAGGCTGAAGCAGCGCTGGTGACGTGGAACGACAAAGTCTGATCAACTCAGTCGGACAGAACCAACTCCAGATTTAATTGTCACCAAGTTCTTCTGCAACGTGCTGAGAAAGTGTCACTTGAAAAATGTTTCCTTCAAGGGCAACAGAAAAAAATAAATGTTTCTGAGGGAATTGTTTTGTTTGGTGGTTTTAAACTGTGTTTGTTTGGGATCCAGTCAAGCAATGACATCGTGGGTGTCACTGTTGGGTCTCTGGCGGAGACTCAGCGGGGGCAGAGGCTTTCCATAGAAACCTGTGCCAGAAATTCCAGGGAAGAAAAACACAGCAATCTGTCACCCAAAGGGTTTTTACAGGTGGGAAATTCTTGCTGCCTTTCATGGAAGCTGGGTAGTCTACAGGTTAAGAGCTAATTGCTACAAACAACTTTCAAACCTAATTAATCTCTAGAGGGAAGTATCAGACAAAAGAGGGTCTCATTCCATTTTGTTATCCAGGCAGCAGCATTTGCAAGATCAAGCCCAAAGGTGATCTGTAAACATCCCAAAAATAGGAAATGAGAAATCCAAAGTGTGCAAACAACAGCTGAAAAGATCCCGTATCAAAATGTGAATGTTGCTGTAGGCAAGTTTTCATTGCAATACAGTTTTAAGTGACAGCAACACTATGCAGCATCCAAAATTTGGGGACCATTGGTGCAGGGCATTTATCTTGCAAGCCACACTAACTTTCTAAAAGAACTATATTAAGAATTTAAAAAAAACACCTGCAGCATTTTCTTTTGTCAATAAAGGAGTTTAAAGTAGTAAAACTGCTCAAGACAAAGTCAATAAGTACATCACAAGAGAGCAACAACTATTCTCAAACCTCTCTCATTGATATAAAAGAAAAACAACAACCATGCAGATGGGTACATGCAAAGCATTTCCCAAGCAAAATAATGTGAGAGATGGTAAGAGGAAACAGGTAGAAATCAAAGATTAAAAAAAGCAGCTTTTTGAAGCATTCCAATCTCAGTTTGGTTTATACAGACCATCTCTTCCCCAGCAAAGCCTTGATGGCCTGCCAACACAAAATTCAGCTTTCATAAATCAGAATTTCCCAAGGAGAATATATTCCACTTGTTCTACGTGGGCAATAACTGAAAATTGCACTCCTGAGCTGGAATTACCAAAAGCAAACCAGGTGGATTGCACTGCTCTAAGACTGTGGAGGTGTCTGCAGGATCAAGGGTTTAGTTGTCCTTCCATTTGATCAGCAAAATGAAGGCAAATCAAACCCTGTACAATGGATGGTTTTATTAATCAATTGATAAATTTCTTGAGATCTGCCAGACCACTTTAGGACTGACAGATCATTTCACCTCCTAGATTGGAAGAGGTTTATTATTCTTGCAAATGTATCCTCCACTGACAATAAACAGACACTCATTACCTGATGTTGGGCCAGAATTATCAGTATGACTGGAAAAATTGCAGTCTTTAGTGAAATAAATGTATAATGCAAGATTTATACGATTGACTCTACTGCCTGTTAAAAGCCAATATAACCAGCTAAGAATGACACAAAAATGACTCAATATATACATTAAATAGCCTGCTCATCAACACTTCAATTATCCAGACTGCATAATTAAGACAGAGTTATAGGTCTGAGAAAGCCCAGCATTAAAACCAGACCTCTGGAGGTTGTTTCAGCCTCACACTACCTGAATTTTACGTATTTCAGCATCAAGAACGACCAAATATCTGCCACTTTCAAAAAAAAAAAAATTAAGGCAAAACCAAGGGATTTCTTACTAATCCCCTTACTGAGAAGTATCTCTACTAGTCTCTCTACTTGTACTGCAAATTGTTCCTTCAAGCTATTGATATAAATTAATCATGAAACCAACAGGGAAATAAAAATGCCTTTTAACCTCTGGGTAAGAGATCCCTACCAACATATTTTCTATTTTCTAGTGTTTGCTTCCAAATTCACTGGGTTTCTCTTTGTTCCCACCTCTTGCTACCAAAATGCAACAGAGAAAAACTGCAATTCCCTTTCTTCCCCTCCCTACCTCTTCATCTGGTTTTTCTCTCTTGCAGCCTCCTCTCTATGTGCCTTTAAAAAAAAGAGCAAGATGGGTTTATGATTAAGATAACAAATGACATTTTACACACATGAATCTTATTCCTGTAAGGAATAAATATCTTGGGTTTAGAAATCTTATCTCCCCTTTAGGCAGCTTTTGATTCTTTGGCAGAAAAGTTCCATGTTCTGTTGTTTCAGAATTTCACAGGATAAGAGTTCAATTAATTCAAGTCAGGGTAACTACAGCCACAGCTCCTTTCTCTGAAAGTTTCTCAATTCATGTTCTTTTGATTCCATTTGAACAAGTGTTCTCATTGCTTTAGTTTGCTTGTTCTCCCCTCACACTACTCCAGATGTCTCCATGTTCACTCGGCTGTTCAAAATCTGAACAATAAAAATGTAAGAAAAACAAAGGAATTGCCACCTAAAACTCAGACAAAAAAATGCAGTGTGAGCATATGAAAAACAATCTTTCAGGACCTTCCAAAATTAGAAAACAGCCATTACTGAGGCAAGAAATCAAGAATCTGCCTACTTCACCTTGGTATTTCCAGTTATTTAGGTACTGCTGCTATGCAAATAACTTCAGATCATTCAGTGCACCTGATATCCCCAGCCATCTGAAACTTTATAAGGGAATCTCAGAGAACTTTCTTGTCCATTAAAATAAAAAAAAAAAGAAGACTTGAAAAATCAAAAAGATGCTTTCTACTAAGCAAAAGGTTTAGGGTTTGGTCAGTGAAAATTAGAATTAAGACATTAAAAAAAAAAAAGATGAAGCATGAACTGAATGCAGAAGTGAATGAACAATGGAGAATGCTTTCAAAAAGTACAAAACCCAAAATACTTTCAATTACCAGCACGATGTGTTTCCCCAAGGGGCTCAAGTTTTCCAAGTCTAGGAAGTTTGGGAGTTCCCCAGCCAACTGAAGGAAAACAAAGACTGTCAAAACATGCCAGGAGTGCTCTGGATTCTGAGGAACTGCCCAGAAAGCAGCTCCTTTTGGGGGAAGTCAAAGCATTTCAGGTATGCAATATATTGCATCCAGGGGGAAGAGCTATGGAACCCTTTGAAAAGAATTGATTTACCCTTAGATACTCAGCATTTTAATCACTTTTTTGGGAGTGGTCAAGTTTCTGACTCCCTTTTTGGGAGAATAATGTCTTCCGCCACAGAACAGGCCAAATAATAGTGCTGGAAGTTCTTCTCATGAAGTGGGAAACTGCACCAAAGATTTGCTAGAGAGAGATCATTCCAGTTTCATCATTCCAAGGGAATATTTTCAAGGATTAACAACCACAGACTGAGCCATCAGTTCCTGGTTGTCAGTACACTCACCTGCTGGAAGTGCTGCTGCTGGTGGTGGATTTTTGGGAAGAGAATCCTCTGAATTAATAGGTTCTACTCTGTGGCCCCTTTTTAACTTTGGTTTTTTACTTTTTTTCTTGCTGTTATCTATGGCAAACAGAAATCAAACATTACATCTCAGACACTTCTATTCAGAGAATATCTTAGATCATCTTCTAAAACAATTATTGAGGAGATACATCAGGGTTTTCAGTCCAAAATTATGCACAAAATGATGGGAAATGTAAAAGTTAGATGGCATTTTGCTACAGAAAATAATCTTTAAGCATAAAATATTGCAAACTCTATGTTTCCATAACGAAATTCAACTTAGTTGAGTCCTGTTGGAAAGTGGACTGCATCTCTGATGATGATAAGAAAACAAACCCACTTTCAGCTGC